AAAGAGCTCTAGGATCTCCGGACTATGCAGATAAGATCTGTTTCATTTTTTAAGGAGAGCAATGCGTTAGTTGATAAGGTTTATCGTTTTCCTTCGATTCAGGCGGAGTTAGTATGAGTCTCGTCATGATCCCGAGAAATTCGGGGTCCGTTGGAGAGGCATTTGGAATCGATTACGTGGCGTTTTGGCTCTTTAATTCCGAACTGGTACTTCGATTCTTTAGTCCCGAATTGGATTGGGTGTCGAGGTGCCTTTATGCCGAGGTGGTTTTTGGGCCGAGATGACTGAATACCCGAACTCCGATTGTTGCGGACTGGATTTCTTTGGCTAAGTTGTCACCTCTCAAACAGATCTTGTCTATGTAACCCCTTCTTATTAGGTCGTACCAAATCATCCTTTATCAGTTTTCTCTTTCTCAAATGGGGGAAAAAGTAGTGACAATGGTTCTCTTTTCTTCAAACTATTAGGATTTTGGGTTGAAGAATGACGGGTAAATTTTGGGATATTGTTAAAAGGGTCGAACATAAGAGTAAAATAGTAAATCAGCAACGTCCATTATCCAAGTTAATATGATGGAAAGTTTTGAACGTTTTGAAAAGTTATGAATTTAAGAGAATTCGTGAAAAGTGATGGTTAACTTTACACAATTTCCCTATCTCTCTTAACTAATAGTCAATGGCTCAATGCGCTGTAGTAGTGATTTTTCTCTCGTCTACTGTAATGATGAAAAATCACCACGTCAACCTTGTGGTTGTGGAAGGAATCCCACAAAAAGGACGCCCTTTTGGCCAGAAGGAAGCCTGATGATCAGGTTATTAATTAAATATTATATCATCTCATCAATACCAATCGGCAATCGCACACCCTAATTTCCACTATACCTTCATATCTATAAATTCGATATATTGCTTTCAACTTCTGCCCGTTGTCATCGAGAAGACTTTGGGTCTAGTCTACTGGAGCTTCTGTTTTAAGTTTTAACTTTTAATTTTAGTATAACTTACTTAGAAAATTGCAAATTGGAATAGTTTAATTAGACTATTGTCGTTGTAGTCAAAAGCGAAGGCGCAAAACGCAATTATAGACTGAGGAAGTTACTTTTTTAGGACTATTCAACACGTTATATTATAAAATTAATTAAAGTGTACATCAGCCGAAATCCACCTTTTATTGGAATTTAATCACTTTCTTCTTAGTTTTCAAAACTTTTCTTTTTTAGATGGGCTGTACTTATTGGTATTTGGATTTGGATGGGCGTTTATTTAGTAAATGCTGACACATAGGCACTATTTCAACATTTTACATGAATCCATAGAGATTTAGAAAAATAAGTCTTAATTTATATGTGCATTTATCGTTGGGGGAAGTTTCATTTTAACGTTTTTCCAAATTGGTAGATATTTATTTACTTCTTTTTTGATGTATTGTTTAATAGTGCCTAATGGTGCTTTGGTGTTAATAAATAGGTTTATTATTATTTTTTCGGTTTTACAAACAAATCAAATACAAATGTTTAGTGAATAAATGACCATAGTTCCAAATACATAGGGTCATTTGGATGGAAAATGATGATAATAGGTTGTGTAAGGATTGACATCCGGATTTGTTCCAAATACATAAAATAATAAAATTATTTGTAAAATTTAAAATATAAGGGTTTGACTTTGAGACTGAAAAGACATGATAATGGAAAAACTTATCAACCAGTAACACAAAATATAGATAACCAATCAGCTTGGATTGGGCAATGTGGGCCTGAGCGGAAATGATCGACCCTACTCCCTACCTTTGGGAGAAAATATAGAAAGTTTGGGATTGTGTATATATGGGCAATATGCAAAAGCAAATTTTTGCCAGTTATGAAGTTTTTTTTTTATTTTAAATTTGGGCCATTTAATTAGGATGTCAATGGGTTGGGTTTAAAAAGCAAACCTGGGCTGACATAACCCTGACCTGAAGGGTCGAGAAGTCTATTTAGGCGTAGGATTGGGTTAGGGTTTTAATGCTTCAACCTAGGTTAGATTCATGTTGCACTGCTCCAATGACTCCGGATCTGCTCTTCACAGAGAGTGCCTCACATTGACCTTACAGCATGTTCTGACTGTACATCGGAAACATCTCCCATACTTATATTTATTATTTATGGGGAGATATTCTCAATATAGAGTGGAATATGGTTGTGAAATAGGTGTGAAACGCATTTGTGGGGAGCAGATCCCAATTCTGTCCCAATCATCTGGTTCATGATATATTGATACCCCTACATATATAGAGTACATTCTTCTTGTAAGTATGACTCCTAACTCCATGATCTCACAGTTTATGTTTGTCTTTGTTTTCGGTATTGGATTTAACATAAAAGTCAGGTCACGTTGGGTGGGAGCATTACAGAACAGGTTAGGGTTATGGCAAACCTCCACCATACCCGACCCATAGACATCCTTGACATCATCCATATGTTTGTCCAATAGTATCAATACGTTCGATACTCAAAAATTGAATATCGGAAGCATGGTCCAATAGCCCGATACTCAAAAATTGAATATCGGGTGTCTTAGAACATTGACACGTTTTGTTTCTTATTTTATTTTTTTAAGTTCAATATACATTTCAAGGATAAATATGTTAAGAGAGGTTATTATAATGTTAAAAACCATTGAAATCCTTTAAATGCTTGAAATCTGAAAGCCGATACCTCTTGATACTTTGAACCATGCGTGGAAGACCCCAGCCCCAGGCATTCTAATTTAAACGCTCTAGGATGTTTTAAGTATTAAGTCTATTGACATAGTCGTCAGAGTTGGCCTAGACAATGAGAGATTGTATTTCTTTCTTGCAACCATCCATGGTTGCAGGATAATTCAGAGAGCCATCTATAAAATGCCAACATGTCAGCATTTGCAATTATTGTCGGAGGACCGGAAATGGGATATCATTTCATTGGGTCTTATTAAACACCATCACAATAAAAGTAATCTCATTTCATTGGGGTCTCATTTTAGGAAATGGTTATTAGTGAAGCGTAGAAGATAAGAAAACCAGTACATTGGATTGGTAGAAGATAAGAGTAAGAGTTTCAATGGACCAAGTTTGCATTAAGGGGGTGTTCTCTGGATTTTGAGAGGGGGGAAAGTTGGTCAATCGGATTTTGATTTCTATTGATCAAAAATCCCATTTTTTTTTTCAGATTTATTTGGATATCAAGGAAAATTTATTTTTCTGCGTAAATCACTTACCTAGGTATCTAAGTGATACTCATCTCTTAACTGGGTAAATAACTTACCCACCTTGGGGGAAAGTCGCCAATACTTGAAAGGGACAAAAGTGCTCCTTGTAATAATGAATTTTTATGGATAAAATGGTCATTGCCTTATTTATATCATTACATAGAAAATAAAAGAACATGGATATATAAATGCGCTTACCCGAATAAATCTTTCCTGAAAAACAATTACCTGAATAAATACATTTATCCGGATAAATAACTTATCGAAATACTACGAACAGGCCTAAATCCAATCTAAAAGTGAAAAGTATTTATCGGATTGGATTAGACCTGATCCATCTGTAATGAATTAATATTGAACCAGGTCAGGTTGAATCAACATTCGCTCCATTTGACAGCCCTAGTGAGGTGGTTGAACGACCCTCGTGTAAAAAGGAGCAATTTACACCAAATAAGAGAGTTTGACGATGACCAACAAGGAAGTTAGCAAGATAAATAAAATATAAACCAATGTGGTAAGGTAATTACAAAAAAGAAAATAAAGGAGTCTGGGAATTCACATTAACGGCGGTTGGTTTCGTTATTATTTAACGACCACTAGAGTCTTGAATTGGTTTCAAACTTTGAAAATCATTTTTGAGAATAGTTTACTATTATTATGTAATGTAATTTAATTAATATAGAGTAGAGCAAGTAGATATTAAATGAAAACTCTCAGAACTCGGTTCAGGCATCTCTATCTTCTTCACTGCTTCCGTGCTGCCCGGCCCACAGCTGAACTGAAAGATTGTGGAAATAGCCTTTAATATTGGCTCTGAATGCTAAGGTCGAATAGTAATACTACCTTCTCAGTTCTGAGGCCCAATTAACAAAACAGCTTTGTAAGGGATGAAGAAGCATCCAAGCCAAGCCGTCTCTATTTTGCATGGTTTTTAAATCTGATCTAGAGGTTAAATCGGCCAGGGATTCGGTTATCGGGTTGAATGGTCCCATTATTCGAATTGAATGGTTATTCAGTTTTGACAAAAAATATAAAAAAATTTAAAAAAAATAAAAAATAGTCAAAACTGTTTGAATTTAACCATTCGGTTTAACGATTTACTGACTAAAATCAATGATTTTTTGAGAAAATCCGATTTTATAAAAAAATAAAACCAATCACCTGACCGATTCCCAAATTTTCCAGTCCGAACGTCCGATCCGGTCTGATTTTGAAAACATGCTATTTTGTCTATTCCGATTCTGAGTATCAGAAATGCATCAAAGTTAAGTAATCATTGAACGTTGAAACACGGAATTCTCAAGTCTTCGGCCTACTCAATTTGGGAAGAAAAATAAAATATATGAATCCAAAATTGTCAATGCCGTGAACATCTGTTTACTAAAACATCACATCAAGCCCTTGAAGAAATTTCACCCACCTAACCAATAAAGTAAATAATATGTAAAAAAAGGCTCTTAATTAGCGAACTTAATTAATTCCATAGTCCCTGCACAATAACCTCCCATATTTCTGCCCACAAGGAACGATGATGTGGCCAATTCTTACCAACTGTCAACCTAGCAACCCTTTAGGGACATTATTGTTGCCAAATGACATCTAACCACGTGTCAAGAAAGTGTAGGGCCATTTTGAGCCCAACCCAACTTTCTGCATGCTGCATGAAAAGATTTTCATTTTTTCTTCTGTGGTGTGTAAGCTAACTATAGCAGACTCGCTCACAAATAATATTATATATTATATACGTAAAAGCAATTAGCAGACCCCCTCACCTACGCGCTGCCGAGAAGACGACCCAAAACCAACTCATCCTCTCCTCTGTCTCCTTCTCTCTTGCGAAGAGCTGCATCATGGCCGATGGGGAGAGGGATCAGGTGAGGCCCTTGGCACCTGTTTCAGATCGTGTCAGCAGCGACGAAGAAGAAGCTACCCACTACTCCAAGAAGCTTCGTCAAAAGAGATGCATCAAATGTTGCGGTTTTATCACCGCCTTAGTCTTGATACAGGCCGTAACAATCATAGTTCTGGCCTTCACCGTGTTTCGCGTTAGAGATCCTGAAATCAAGATGAACGGAGTTACGATCGACCGCCTGGACCTTGTAAACGGGACGGTGCCCCGCCCCGGCGTCAACATGTCTCTCACCGCCGATGTCTCCGTCAAGAATCCAAACTTTGCTTCGTTCAAGTACGGAAACACCAGCACCACCCTCTACTACCGAGGTACAGTCATCGGGGAGGCTAGGAATCCACCTGGGCACGCCAGAGCCCGGCGAACGATGCGGATGAATGTCACGGTGGACGTTATCACCGATCGATTAATGAATAATTCAAACCTACAGAATGATATCAGTTCGAGGATGCTGACGATGAGTAGCTACACCAGGATCGGTGGCCGAGTTAATATATTAAAGTTGGTGAAGCGACATGTGAACGTCAAGATGAACTGCACCATGTCTGTTAACTTAACAAGCCAGGCAATCCAAGAACAGAAATGCAAGCGACATGTGAAACTCTAGGATCTTCCTCTGCTCATGTTTTAGTGTATTATAAGTGTTTCAGTTGCTTTTGCCCATAGATACTTGGACATATTTGCACTCTGTATACTGTATTGCTGCTACATATATACGATTAATTATAATGTTCAGATTTTGGATATTAATTTTTACCTGCAGATTTTAATTAGATCTCTTTTGCTTTTTCTTCTAATTTTCCACTGCACAAGAACAATCAATATCTGCATCAGTGCTTAAGAATCCATAGTGAAGTTTATTCAGTCAATCGAAGTTGATTATTCAAAACCAGAAGTTGCTTCACGATTTGAAATTTTAGAAGATTTTCAGGAATTTCATGCTTGACTGTTGAACACAAAATTGGTGTGAACACATATATGTAAGACTAGACTCAAGAATTCTGATTTATATCGGCAGAGTGGACTGGATTTGTGCTCATTTGGTGGCCGGGTCGAATTGGTTTTTCCTGGATGACCTGGACAGATTGGCCCACCCAAGTTCAAAATAAGATAGAGCTCAAGTTACTTAAAAACGACTTTCACCAAAGCCCACGAACCTAAAATCGTTGGCAAAATCATACCCAAGGTTACTTGCTAACTGGAAGTTCAGCTTTCTCATCTTTCTTGCTTAGTGCGCACAGGCGCCATTAACTTTGCTTTCTTATCTCTCTCGCTTAGCCACAACGTTGCTTTCATGGGTTTGTTAATTAGACTCATCAGAGCTAAATCCAATGGTTTATTAATTCAAAGAAATCATGGCGAATATGAAAATTTGACAATAGAAAAGGAAATTAAACACTTAGGCCCTGTTCATTTTTAAGTAAGTTATCCATGTAAATGCAGTTATCTGGGAAAGTGTTTTCGAGGCCCTGTTCATTTTTCTGTAAGTTATTTATCCGGAACCGGTAAGTACATTTACCCATGTTCTTTTATTTAGACAATGACCATTTTAGCCATAAAAATCTATTATTTATTCACCTAAGAGATGGGTATTACTTATCCACGTAAGTGGTATCCAAAAAAATAATCATTCTCTGGTTTCCATATAAATCTGAAAAAAAAATGAGATTCTTAGTCAATAAAAACCAAAATCCTATTGACCAACTTTCCCTTCTCTCAAAATCCGAAAAAAAATGCCCCCTTAACTGCTTAATGTTCCAATCATTAACTGGGACTGGACACATAACAGTTCTGATGGCCAGGTTACGGGGCGAAAGGTCCAACCGTCTGCTTTGCTTGTTGAATTCACTTAGATTAAAGCTACTTTGCATAAAAAAAAAAAAGCGTAAAACAATAGAAATTACAGGTGATAAGATTATCTTGTCTGAATTACAAGTGACAACATATACAATAGTACAAACACATTTTTCTTTGCATGTATTTGAGATAAGTTTGACCAACTTAATTAAAAGTTCTAAGGACTGAACCAAGCAGCAAGTAAAAACCATTTTGGCTGCGGGTATCTGGGGGGATTGTTGGCCTGACACTCCACTCCGGTCTGAGTGGGACAATGTTGGTCAAGGATGAAGGACGACGAATATAGGTAAAAATGGGCCGATGATGGACTGGGCCTGGTCTAAGTCTATCATGGACATCAAACGGGCATTTCTTACACGGTGCTTTAATTCTTCTGAGCATCGTGCGGTTAGCTTTCAGGGCTCAATGCATTACTTTTTATCGTCTTTAAGTGTTATTTATCAAAATTCATGGGTGAATTTTGATTGGTCAAAACTCTTTTTATACCATATTTTTTTCACATCATAGATTTTCCCTAAAACTTATGGTTTGAATATGATATGGAAAGATATAATATCCGAAAAACAACTAATCAATAAACTGGAATCATTAATATGGTAACGAAAAAAGTGTTATTTATCAAAATTAATGGGTGGGTTTTGATTGGTCAAAACTCTTTCTATACCATATCTTTTCCGCATCATACTTTATTCCTAAGACTTAAGATTAAAGGTCTTCGATACGAAAACCAATAATGTCCGCATCGGCATTGCTGGCATTGCAAGGAATTTTGGGGTCAAGTTAAACAAGAAAATGGGATAGGGAGAAGTAGGATTTGGGGAAGAAGGCCTCAGAAGGTTTGGGTTTATTAGAGATTTTTTTAAAGAAAAAATAAATATATATTTTTTTTATTTTAGGAGTTGGATAAGAATAATCTTTTACATCTTAGTTCAAGTTTTGAACCCACTTTATTACGTTTTTTATCCAGCTTCCTTCTTACTTGGCTCCGCCCTGTATCGGGTGATTTCCTCAACAAAAATACTAATTATGTACAGTCATAATTGTTAGTACTGTATTGGGATAACTTATATGTCAATTAGACCAGATTTGATCCAATATGAGTTTATTACAGATGGATTAGTCCAATCCAATCTGATCAACTGTAGACCATTTTGGATCAGTCCAATTCAATGTCTGGACTGTCCAATCTGTTTAAATTGATTTTAGTTTAGATTGGTCCCAACTCAACCCTGATCCATTGGCACCTGTTTTCTTATATTCTATCGATGGATTGGATATTGGATAAATATGACCCAATCCAATATAAATCATTATGGATGGACAGAGTTCAATCCAATCCAATAAATACATTGGACCATTAAGTCTAGATTAGTTGAATTCAATACGTCTTATTGGCCCATCTTATCCATCCAAATTGATTAACCCAAAATCGGCCCATTAACAACCCTAATTATAACTGGTATCATAAAACTGCACTAATTCAAAGGTACTTAGGATGGATTCGAGCCAACCCGAGCCAAATGTCTGGCCATCCAAGCTCAGCTCACCAAAAATGTTAGGCTCAACCTCAATTGAAGTTGTTACAGACTTGAGCTAGAATTCGTTTTGGCTCTAAAGCTTATATGTTTAAGCTCGGCTCAGCATAAGCTTGACTATGAGCTTCCTATAAAAAAGAGAAATTATACATATAAAAGTTATTTACTATCATATATAAAAATAAAAAAAATTATTTATTATCATACATACAAAAATAAAATATTATACATATAAGAAAAATTATTATGTGTATACATACGTATGTATGTATATATGTATTTAGTTCAATTAAGTTAACAAACCTCATGAACTGAACTTCAATGAGCTCGAGCTTGAGTCTACAACCCGAATTCGAATAGCTTGTAAAAAACTCTATTCATTTCCACCCCTAGTGATACTTTATCAAAACTCATGAGGGGGTTGATTGACCAAAGGTCTTTGGGTATTGATGCGACGCAATCTGGCTGCTCTTAGTTGGAGATGACTCAGCTTCTAGTAGACGACGGTCTAGACGGATCTGCACAAAGAGAGAATCAGACGAATTATAAACTCCGCGGACGTCAAAAAATGCGCTAAACCAAATTTACCATCAAGGGTCAGGCAGCCGGTTTTCTTAGGAGCTGTTGGATCGCTTCGATCTCGACCGTTAGTTCTCGGACATAGCGGCTCTAAATAGGAGGGTCCGCGACTCATTCCTCGCCACAAATTCTGCGATTTAGCTCTTCTGAGGTCGCGTCGGAGTCTTCTAGCTCGGTTTTCTTTCCGCTTTCCACTTCATTCCTTGATTTCGGTGAGTCTCTTAGCTTTTTCCTGTTTCCAATTATGTCGAGCTCTAGCATAGATAGATTGGTAGATAGCGTTAGTGAGGTGGAGGGCGTCGTTGTTCTTGCCAGGGAAATCAATCCATGGCAGGGTGCCTCACCTCACCGGTCTACAGAGGGATCCTCTGATCCCGAAGTTGGGCCATCTCGGCTCGGGGAAACCGAAGCCCAGGAAGAGGGTCCGTCCTCCAAGTCAGGGGCCCCGACTTCTTCTCGAGGTCAGAAACCTGATGACTTCGGGCCTTCCAAGCTGTCTTCAGATAGGTTGCCGTACTTAGCATCCCGCTATCGTTTTCCTGATAACTTAGTCTTCAGTCTTCCATTAGGTCAATATCCTTGGGATCACGACCATAACGAACTCGTTGTTTTTGAGGAGCAGCTCGCGGCAAGGCTGCGCTTCCCTCTTCACCCTTTTTTGATAGAAGTAGTCAAGTTTTACAACATCACCATTGACCAGCTTCATCTGAACTCTATTCGGAACATAGTTGGTACTATTTCTTTGTTCCACGCTATAACCGACCTTTAACCCTTGATGTCTTTAGCTCGATCTACGCGATCAAGCGAAACTCAGCCTGTCTGCGCGGGGACGTACGGCAGAGCTATTACATCTCCCCTAGGCCTGGATTCAAAATCCTGTCTGGCTGCCCGAACAAGGTTCTGGCTTGGAAAAGACGATACCTCATCGTCCGTAACCCGGAAGGGTGGTCTTTTCCAACCCACTGGAGGGTGGCTACCCATGACCCTGGGGTGATCTTGAATGCGGAGACCAGGCGGTGATTAACTCTTGGAGGGACCTCGGCCTCAAGATGAAGAGCTTCTTGGCCGAGGAGGCGCTGGTGCGAGCTGGTTTGAGCCCTCCTGGTAGGTTTTCTTTCAAATACTTTGCTTAAAACACCCTTTATGCTTTTTGACTAACTGTCTATTTTTTGCAGCTACGATGCCCCAGGTTGATGCAGGAAGCCTCCTGATGAGCTCCCGAAAGGGGAAGAAGCGAAAGGCTGTGAAGAGACTTCGTTGGGAAGTCGAGCCTTTGACTTCTGGAGCAACTGAGGCCCAGGCCGTGGAGCCGATCTCCACCAAACCGCCAAGGGAGGAGGCCCAACCCGTAGACCCCGAAGTTGTTGCGATGGAGGGCTGCGAGGAGGAAGTCCATCCTCAAGAGCCAGAGGATGCATCTGTGCCCGAAGGGCCTGCTTCCGAGCCGGAGCTCGCTCTTGCTAACGGGGAAGAGACTATTACGAACCATGTATTCGCGGTGCAGAAGAGTCGGGGTGCTATCTTTCCGAAGGTGGTGGAGCAATGGACTGAGATGCTCCCGAGATGGCTTCTGGGACGAGCTTCTAGTCACTGCATGGTGTTAAGCATTTTAACTTCGGCTTCTCTCTCTCTTCCCTCTTTTTTTTGTACTTACCTTGATTTGCTTTTGATAGGTCAACTCCGCCCTTCACGCATTAGCTTTCCAGTCCATAATCCAGTCAAAGTAAGCTCGGGACGCCAAGGTGGACGTGTGAAAGCTCCATCGCGAGCTGGATTTAGCCCAGG